ACCATGAAACGCTGCGTTTCCATCCTCCCTTTCCTTGTGGGGTTGCTCTTGGTGTACCACTTAACCAAAAACATTTCACCGGTGGTTCTTGATTCCACCAAGTGTTCGCTCGTGCAATACGAATCCAAGAGCTTCCACTCTGACTGCACCATCTCGGGAAAATCTCGATACGACAACTTCTTCACCTTGCGGTTGTAAAGTTGTTCTCCAAGATTCCATGATCCAATGTATTCCCCTCCTGAAGCAGGCATGCAGAACATCTCGTTTCTCTTCGAGTACATTACATAAGAGTTGAAGAAACACGGGTCGGTGATTTCGATGTTGGTCCACCCAGAGTTTCCAAGAGCAGGTCGACATAAGCTGAGTTGAGGTCCCAAGAACTTGATAGCCACAACACAGTCATCATCCTCCGTATAAGGCGACGACATTGCCACGTTGGTGACGATTTGGGTTTGGCAATGAGGCAGAGTCACAAGAGGAGGCAAAGAGATGCGTCTTGCATCTCTATTATCTTGGAGACGCACTACTCCTTCCTTCAATGAAGCAACCCATTTATTGGATGATCCTATCGTTTCCATGTCCTCTACCTCATGATCAGCATATTTATAAACATCGATGTATCCTTTATCTCCATTCCTCAAGACATTTTTGTGGTCGGAATCGGTTTCAAAGAATCTAGTATTTCAATTTTCATACTACAAAGGATAAATATTTCCTAGTGTGACTAAATAATTAGTGTTTTGTGTGAAGACAAAACAAAAGACTGAAGATTAAAACCCCATTTAAACATTGCTTTAATTTAAATTAAGCTAAAACTTATTACAAAGCTAACTATTGCCCAAATATACTATTGTGTTTGTTGGGAAAAAAAGAGTATATTTTGTTTGAAAAGCGTAAATAATCATAATTTGTCTACTACTTGATAAAATGGTAGAAAAGGAGATTTAAACATGCTAATTCTACGGTCTATTTTCATATTGGCTTCTTCTCTTTTGTTGAATCCAACAAATTCTACTTTTGTGAGACGAATTATGAGCAAAGCCACATCTACGTCTTCTAGACCCCAACATGAAGCTCATGCTCAATTGTTTCGAATCACGGTACTGGTCTCCTTTTTCCCTTGCCTCATGCTATTCTGAAGACATTTTTAGATGTGACAACATACTGTTCATAGGTTGAAAAAGCAAGGATATCGCAAAATCATGAACGATAAATGGTGCTCATCTGTTTAGAGTCATGGTGCTGGACATAATTGAAAATATGTCCTATAATTCAATTAGAAAATCTATGCAATGACTAATATTGAAAATATGTACATTAAACCATCTCTATACTATTAAAAGAGAAGTCATTTAGAGTAAATGTCCAAAATCTTATCTAATATTACTAAAATTGCCATTGGTTTTAAATTAAAGAAATTCAATTGAAAAGGGTAATTTTGTACATATGTAGTGGCAATTTCAGTAATTTTGGGATCAATTTCAGACATTTTGAAAG